AAAAAAAAAAAAAGTGCCAGCCTTTTTTACCCCCAAATTCTGAACTCATAGTAACGTGAGTATGTAAGGATATCGATACAGAGAATTTTTTTGCCGCATTGTTTGTAATAAAACATCACGGGGGTGCCTGGGTGGCTCAGTTGATTAAACGTCCGACTTCGGCTCTGGTCATGATCTCATGGTTCGTGAGATTGAGCCCTGTGTCAGTCTCTGTGCTGACGGCATGGAGCTTGGGATTCTCTCTCTCCCTCTCTCTGCCCCTCCCCTGGTCACGTGTGTGCTCTCTTTCTCTCAAAATAAATAAAGAAACTTAAAAAAAACCTACATCGTAAACAATTGAGAAATCTCCATTGGTGGAGGCATGAGTGAATGAATTACAGTTTATCTGTTCAGGGGAACAGAGACAGTGGAGCCACTGAAAAGAATGAGATGGATCTCTGTGAACGGACCTGAAAAGATAACTGACTTATTGTAAAGTTCAAGAATAAGTTGTGTTCTATGATCTAGGATCTCACTGGCACTAGAGGTAGTTACAGTTTTGTGGAAAAGGAAGAGGATGGCATTGATTCAGGTCACAGCCTGCACCCGCCAGGCCAAGTATGTGGTTCTGGATGTACAGAGCTGACGAAGTCACAGCCTCATGGTGGAGGATGACCTCACATGCAGCACCTTTGTGACAAGCAGAAAATAATGCGGGAGCACAGACAGGAAGACTAATTCTGACAAGGAAAGACAGAAAGACAGGGTTTGCAGCACGGGATGAGTTCTGGGGAGCAGCAGCAGATATTTCTGGAAGAGAACTTGGAACCCTGAAGTAGAGTCATAGATGATCCCAGGCCCCAGGCCGGGCGATGCGGCGGGGAGAGGGCTCTGGTCTGGGGCAGAGCGCGGCCTCTCCTCTGCTCAGCACCATCCAGCGCTGCTGGTCAGTTCTTGTCTCCTGGAGGCCCACGATACAAGCTTCCTCTCTTTCATGCACTTTCATCCATGGACCTCATGGTGACGACTCTGCCCGCCCTTCCTTCCTCCCTCCCTCCCTCCCTCCCTCCCTCCTTCCTTCCTTCCTTCCTTTTTTCTTTCACTTCCCTGACCCTTATTCATGTCTTCTAACTTGGATTTGAGGGGCCATTGGGTTTGGAAGTTTTAGTGGAAGGCAAGGAAGTAGAGTCGGGGGCGTTCCTTTTGTCGCCTTCTGACTTGATACCGTTTCCCCTCGGCAGACCCTCTTCTGGCTGTGCACAAGTGCTCTCTCACCCTGGGCACACACCTGTCACCAGCTTGGCCTGGGCACCCAGTGGGGGACGACTGCTCTCAGCTTCACCTGTGGATGCTGCTATCCTGGTGAGTGGTCCCCACTCATCCTTTGGCCATTTGAGCCCCCTCAGACGTGAGGCAAGAGCATTCTTCTCTGGTGGTGGAAAATATCCTGGGGGCTCCACTGACAGCGTGGAGCCTGCTTGGGATTCTCTCTCCTTTTCTCTCTGCACCCTCCCCTGCTTGCTCTCTGTCTCAAAATAAATAAAGTTCTGCTTGCTATCTCCTGTTTTAACAGCCCCTCTCTTGCTTCCTCCCCTTTCTGTGTCTTTCTACCTAGAAGAAGGGCAGCCCCCGTGACAGGTTGGGGATGCTGGAGTTCCCTCTCACTCCTGCCCCTTCTGCCTAGGTATGGGATGTCTCAACGGAGACCTGTGTTCCCCTTCCCTGGTTTCGCGGAGGTGGGGTTACCAATCTGTTCTGGTCTCCGGATGGCAGCAAAGTTCTGGCTACCACTCCTTCGGCTGTCTTTCGGTGAGTGGGAGGAGAGCAGGGGAAGGGGTAAGGACAGGAATGACCCAGAGAAAGGCACTTGGCTCCTGGAACTTCCAGCAGGAAGTTCTGTGACCATTCTCTGACCTGGCCCTGAGACCGGCAGAGGGAGGGAAGTACAAGTTTTGGAACCTAGAGGTCCTAAGCTGTGACCTCTTTCTGGTGCAGAGTCTGGGAGGCCCAGATGTGGACGTGCGAGAGGTGGCCTACTCTGTCAGGGCGGTGTCAGGTAAGAGGCGACTGTGATTCAGAGAGCCAGGGAGCAGGTGGGCCCCAGATTGTCCCAGCTTGTCTCCCTTTGTCCCCCTACAGACCAGTGTTCCTCTACCTTTTGTTCCTTGACCCCAGACTGGCTGCTGGAGCCCAGATGGAAACCGACTGCTGTTCACTGTATTGGGGGAACCACTCATTTACTCCTTGTCATTCCCAGAACGTTGCGGTGAGTCAGGGGAAATGGCTCCGGATGCAGAGTATCTGGGGCAGTCAGAGGAAGGCAAGAACCCCCTGGAATATGCTACTCTGAAGGATAAAGGGAAGTAAAACTTGGGAGACTTGAGAGGTGTTGATGCTTACAATAGGTGGGAGGCAGGGGACCAGTGAGAGGCCCTTTCCTGTACTCCAGAGCCTCTGCCCTTCTTGCAGGGGAGGGAAAGGGGCGCGTTGGAGGTGCAAAGTCAGCCACCATTGTGGCGGATCTGTCTGAGACAACAGTACAGACACCAGATGGAGAGGAAAGGTGAGCTGATTGGTGAGGGAGGGGCAGTCAAAAGGTGGAGGGGCCATGCTGAGCCCTCCCAACCTACTGTTCTGACCCATAGACTTGGGGGAGAGGCTCACTCCATGGTCTGGGACCCCAGTGGGGAACGTCTGGCTGTGCTCATGAAAGGTAAGAGTTGGGAGGGCGCCTGGGTGGCGCAGTCGGTTAAGTGTCCGACTTCAACCAGGTCACGATCTCGCGGTCCGTGAGTTCGAGCCCCGCGTCAGGCTCTGGGCTGATGGCTCGGAGCCTGGAGCCTGTTTCCGATTCTGTGTCTCCCTCTCTCTCTGCCC